CTCTCAGTTCCGCATCAGACATCATGAGGATCGCGTTTGTTGACATTCAAGGCTTTACAGTTGACGGATTATTCGTACCTAAAGAACTATGTATCGAAATTGGTTTCAAGAAAAGTCATTACATCTTTACACCTCCGCAACCTTTTTCTACATTAAATACTAAAGACAAGAAAACTGTCGCTTACTTGGAGAAGAATTTCCATGGGCTTAAATATTCTTCCGGCGACGTTAAATATTCCAAGTTAAATGAAATAATTAAAAATAAGGTGATATATGCGGCTGACTATGTCTACGTTCGTGGAGAACAGAAAGCAAACTTTTTACTCAAGAAATGTCACATTTTTGGTGTTTTTCCCAACATTATTGATGTTTGCAAGTATGATGGTACACCGTGTGCTACTGGAAACTTTGTTGCTGATTCCAATCCATGCCACACCAACGGACAATTTTCCTGTACCCAGAGAAATGTTGAACGTCTACGCCACTGGTTTTCAAATATCATATTACCTATGTAGTTTTTTTCTATTTTCAATAAAATATTAAACGTATTATTGTAGTTTTATTGAAAATACCTCTGGTTTGCGAAATAATTGTCAGAATGTCTATACTATTTTCATTTTGAACGGTATCATCCTGTATAATAATAACAGTACATCGTATACAGGTTATGAGACATTCTGACCGACCGACCGACCGACCAGAGGAGCCCACCACGCTATTTAGGTCACGCCTTGCTATATACGATTTAACGATATACCGTCGGTCCATCGATCCGCTATTTTTCGATGAACCCCTGTATACACGTTGCCCCCCGTAATCCACGCCAACACCAGACAGGTGCGACATCGGCGCCATCTATGCGCGAGATGCCCAACCCATCAATGGCAGCTGTCCAATGACGCATAGATTCCGTTAGGTTTGTACACCGCCAAACAAATCTACGCCATTTATGCGCGAGATGCTCAACCCATCAATGACAGGTGTCCAATGACGTATGACAGATGACGTGTAACGCCATCTATGCGTGAGATGCCCAATGACGCATGACAGGTGTCCAATGACACACAGATTCCGTTTGGTTTGACAGCGCCATCTAGCGGCGGAATCCCCAACTCATGAATACAGATTCCGTCCAACAACCTGTCAATGGCGCGCGACGCCAGCGCCTCTGGTGGCGGATTTTGGAAGTTTTGAGACCGAATCCCCATAGACCATCTACTCACTGATCAACAGCCAAAAAATATCCTAAATAAAATCAACAAAATATTACTATTTTTAATGTGCTAAAACCGGAGTGAAACTTATTTTTTCAATATTAGTTCAAGTTTTAGAGATACGGTAATTATATGTGTTCCTGCTGTTAATATACTGTAATTCACAAGAGTGCACCTGCTACATTTTTATATTCGGCAAGGAAAGATGATGTAATCGGCATGATTGTGTTACGTTATAGATACGTGTACATTATATTGTTTTATATTAGCCATTTTTTCCTCAGTTGGCTGACAGCGTTCATGCAAGATGTCTCGAAAGTGTGTAAAAAATCCAGATCAGTTTTGTTACGTGTGTGGTGATGTGACTTTTGCGTCTCAGAGACGGTCTATTACTCCACTAATAACAAAGGCATATCAGCTTCATTTCGGTTGTGAACTAGGTGATCAAGACAAACAGTGGGCACCCCACATCTGCTGTAATACATGTGCTTCAAGTCTGAGGAGCTGGTTAAATGGCAAAAAACGGTCTATGCGCTTTGCTGTCCCAATGGTTTGGAGAGAGCCTACAAATCATATTAATGATTGTTACTTTTGCATGGTACCTTGTGTTGGACAAGCCACAGGTATGTCCAAGAAAAAAAAATCGGTTATTAGCTACCCAAACATACCATCTGCGATGAGACCTGTGCCTCACAGTGACGAAAATCCTATTCCAAAACCCCCAGAATCCTACATTTGCGAATCAGAAAACGAATCAGATCATGGCGATCGAGTGATTCGTCAGGAAGAAGATATGCCATCAACGTCAAGAGATCCTGATTTTATACAGAGCACGTCATGCCACCAACCGCACAAAATAACACAGTCAGAATTAAATGATCTTGTAAGAGATTTAGAACTTCCAAAATGTAAGGCAGAGTTACTTGGATCAAGACTGCAGCAGTGGAACTTGTTAGAAGACGATGTTTCGGTATGTGTTTTTCGTAGACGCTACAAAGACTTAGAACCATTTTTCAATATGAAGAATAACTTGGTTTTCTGCAGTAACATTAACGGCTTACTGGCGGCTTTAAATATAAACTATAACCCAGAAGAATGGAGATTGTTTATAGACAGTTCAACATTGAGTTTAAAGGCAGTATTATTGCATATTGGAAATATTTTACCATCTCATCCTGTAGGGTATGCAGTTCACATGGAAGAACCATATGACAATATGAAGTACCTATTGACATGCTTAAAATACGATGAGCACCAATGGCATATTTGTGGCGATTTGAAAGTTGTTGCACTTTTACTTGGGCTGCAGCTAGGCTACACAAAGTTTTGCTGTTTTTTGTGTGAATGGGACAGTCGGGCAAAGGCACTTCATTACACCAGACAAAACTGGCCTGTTCGTCAATTCCTAGAGCCAGGTCAAAAAAATGTACAGCATATGCCATTAGTAGATTCGGAAAAAATTTTATTACCACCACTTCATATCAAGTTGGGCCTAATGAAAAGCTTTGTCAAGGCATTAGATAGAGATGGGTCAGCTTTTCAATACCTGCGTCAGAAATTTCCAAGACTAAGTGAGGCAAAGGTTAAAGAAGGTATTTTTGTTGGGCCACAGATTCGAAATATTTTGAAAGATACACAGTTTGAAAACACTTTAACAGGTATTGAAAAAACTGCTTGGAATGATTTCCGTCTGGTGGTCACTAATTTCTTGGGAAATAGAAAAGCTGACAACTATAAATCCCTTGTCAAAAATATGCTGTCATCGTATCAAAAGATGGGCTGTAATATGTCTCTTAAGATACATTTCCTACACTCACACCTGGACTTTTTTCCTGACAATTGCGGAGCCGCAAGTGATGAGCACGGCGAACGTTTTCATCAGGATATTTCAACAATGGAAAAAAGGTACCAGGGAAAGTGGAATCCTTCCATGCTTGCAGACTACTGTTGGACTCTTGGTAGAGATGCTCCAGAAACGATCCATAAAAGAACAGCAAAAAGACAGCGCATATAGTGATTCTTATAAGAATATGAATCTTGTTACTTTTTTTAATATATCCTTAAAAATAAAAAGTTTTTTTTCTAAACCGCAACTAATTTCTTTATTTCATTGTCATTTTTGGATTCAGCGCCCCAAAATTAACAAAGAAGTGCACTTTTCCCACAAGATACAATTAAAAAACTAAAATTTGTTGTCCAGTGTTTTCAGTTGCCTCCTACCGAAAAAGATCACGATCTACTAAAAAATTTTGCACAAATCTACCGAGAACAGATTGACTATACGTGGCAACACTGGGCGGCTGTAATACCAGACCGGTGTGCCCACCTGTGAACCCAGTAGCAAAAATATTTCTCTATTATTCTATGTTTCAAAGGCAAATGTACGCAAAAACCTATGATGTGTGACGTAGGTATGTCTAATAGGTAGAGTTACTAAGGTTGGGGCCATGCGAACATACTAACATGAAAAAATTGCGTCAAGTAGGTTGACTCTGCAACGCTGTCTTCAGTTGATTGAGGATTATGTTCCGTACACGTGAGGCCCTTTGAGAAAAAAGTTAGCGTCGAACAAATTAAATCAAATCAGTCAAACAGGCCGATACAATTAGTCCACTGACATTTTTCCCCTGCCCTACCGATGTATCGTCCATCTGGCAATACCTGAACGTACGGTGCGTTAGACGCGGCAACGCGGCACACTGGTAGCAGTTTTGCCAGGTCTACCGATTTTTCGTTAGATTTACCTATGTCACTCCTATTCAAAGGAAATCTATGATGTATGAAATATATTTAATATTGTCAGAGGATGTATAATATTACGTAAAATTCCACTGACACTTATGGGCGATCAGAAAATACTGGGCGTGGAACAGTTACCTATGGGACGCGGACTCTATGGTGCGAAGTAAAGCATCTTTGACCATTGATATTTTCATTACAAAACACACATCTGTTTTGCACTATAGCAGATCCAAATTTTCAATATCCTCTAGGTGAAAGAATGGATCCGCCATTGGTCTTGCATCTATCCAGCGTCACGTTGCGAAACAGTAAAAGATCAGGGATATGAACGTCTCCTTACTCCCTTTCGGCAAAAAATAACACATTCCATTTTTTTATTTTTGTTTTCTCTCGTATACGCAAAAGATATTTCAGATGTACGGTTTCATTTCAGTTCCTAAAAGCAAATTGCTTTAACCTTCTATCACATAAGCGATAGACAGCATCTGTCAGCAATTTAGTGGAAGAAATATCGCAAAGAAGTGAAATTTTATTGCCTGCGAGTGGATTTAATGCCTATCGCTGGATCGCGGAACCGATCGCTGACGTGTTATTCGATTTTGTACTGTAATACTTTTCCCCTATTGTTCCACCTCGCTCCATTTTCTTCAGATGGTTCATGAGGGCTATTCAGGCATTACTACAAAATTTTAAGGAACGTGGTTACCACGTGTTCTTATTTCCCCTAAAGCGCCATTGATTCCAAGAGCCCCATACCAAGCCAATCTCGCATCGTGCCTGTTGGTGGCACCCCTAACTGGGCAGAGAAATTGTACCGCGGTGTTGCCAGGTGTTCCCTAAAATGGGGAAAATGTAGGTCATTATTTTCGCTTCCGTTTGTACGTCACTGACTCCTAAAGCTTTCCATGAAGGACGTCCCACACCGAGTCTGTGGGCAGGACTTGCAGCTGGGCAGAAATAAAAACTCGTTGCCTCTCGTAAGATGGGGATACTTGGCGTTATTTATTTTACATCGACATGTACGCCACTGACTCTAAAAGCTGCTTACCATGTGAACCTCGTCTCGGGTCTGTCGGCAGCAGCTCCAGCTGGGCAGAAATTGAACTGAGGTGCTGCCAGGTGTTCTAATTTTCCCTAAAATAAGCGAAACATTGCGCAATTATTTTCGCTTCCGATGGTACACCTCTGGTATACTTAGTTTGGCTGAAATCGGATTGACATGTTGTCACGTGCACTTATTTTACCTAAAGCGGGGAAAACGCGGCGCAACAATTTTTGCTTCCGATTGTACTCGACTCGCACTGCGGCGTTGTCATGTGTCCGAATTCTCCCTAAAATGGTAAAACACTATTTTTCAAAAGATGCATACTAAGAGACTATGTCGGTAGTAATTCCTGCCGGGCAGAGATTGGACCGCGGTGTTGCCAAATGTTCTGATTTTCGCTAAAATGGGACAACGTGGCGCAATTATTTTTGCTTGCAATTGTACGCTAGTGTCTGCAAAAGCCGTAAACTAAGGAAGCATCGCAACAAGTTTATCGACAGCAACTCCAGATTGACAGAAATTGGACTGCGATGGTGCCAGGTATTTCAATTTTCCCTAAAATGCACACGTTTATCATATTATTCTTTCTTCTTCTGTTTCTTTTGTCTAAATTGGTGTTTTATGTATTTGTCATTGGTAACTTGCTTTCTCAGTATTTTAACTGTATTCTATAGGGATATTTCTTGAATCTAACATAGTCATATAAGAATCCTTTCCATCCATGATGCATTTTTAATACATGTTTGGTAGTCTGAATTGTTCTTTCAACAAGACCATTACTGTGTTGTTATCTAGGTCTAGATGTTTGTCATTCAAAATTGTTATCTTTAGCGAACGTCTTAAGTCCTTCAGATGTAAAATGAGTTGCATTGTCTGAGAATATGGTATTTGGAATACCTTGTCTTGAAAAAAAAATCCTTGAGAATAAATATAATTGCATTTTAAGCGGTGGAGTTCAATTTTCTTAATTCAATGAAATTTGAAAAATAATTACAACCAAGTAGTGTGGAGATATCTATACCAACCTTGTGGGACTTCATGCGACATGAGAGTTTTCTTTTGTGTCGTTTTTCTTGAAATAATAATAATAACAATGTTCATTGGTCTAATGACAGAGTTTTCGTATAAATAATAACGGTGGTATCCAATAAGCATAAGATACTAAAAAAAAAGAATGCACACATACTTGCACGCTAACTGAACGTCTCAATTATATGAATTCAACAAATTCCCTATAAGCACACTAGTCATATGTAAACATTGCATCAGTTTATGAAATAGCATTGATTTTTCATGTCTACAAGCTTATCAATTTGTAGCCTTGGATGGATCAAAGTCCATAATCACAATTCAATTTTGAAACGGTTTTTACGCTTTATATGTTTAAAATTTGTAGGAGTAATATTATAAAATTTTGAGCCTACAGTATATTCAGATAAGAGATAGACCGGATGTAAACAAAAGGATCGGGTGATTTTCACGCTAACGCCGCCGTCTCGACGTAAAACAGGAGCCCTTATTGGTCCATTCGCAATTAAATGCCTATGCCGAGCGGCAGAGCAGTCGTATCAAGGCAGAGTCACATTCAGGTTCAGACGTGTTACGTATGTCGTGTGCATCATTGCAATTTGATATTTCTTTGGACGTTTTCGTTTGTTATCTTATTAAGTTGTTGAGTTTGTCGTTGTTATTGTTATACCTTGTTATTGATTGTTATTGTTATCAACTACTTGCGCAAAATGCCCAGTAGTACAGATACTGCCGATGAAGTTGTAAACTCCTGTAGTCCACCTAGGAAACGCTCTAAAAAAAGACACCTGAGTGCAGAAATGAAAGAGGTCATTTTGAATATATATAAGATCGAGCGCGAGGAGAACGAGGCATCAACCATCAAAGAAATTGTTGTGAAGGTTTCTCACAAAGTTGGGGTGTGTCGCGCATCAGTGTTTAATGTGTTAAGACAATACAAAAAAAATCACACCTTTTCTGAGCCAATGACCAGTAAACATCGCAAAAGTATTGTTAAATCATTGGATGAAGCTGATAAGCATGCGATTAGGAGGAAAGTGCATGAATTCTTCTTTAGGAATGAAATACCTACTATAGATAAAGTACTGCAGGAGGTAAATGGAGATACAACGTTGCCAAATTTCAAACAATCAACTTTCCATGCGTTACTGAAGCATTTAAATTTCAAATGAAAAAAACGGGGTCGTAATAGTTTACTACTGGATAGAGAAGAAATTGTGCTATGGAGGAGGGATTATTTAACAAAAATTGGGAAATATAGAAATCAAAACAGGAAGATTTATTACCTTGATGAAACGTGGGTAAACGCAGGACACACTACAAGTAAAGTATGGGTTGATGATTCTGTAACTACATCCAGGAGGGCCTTTCTAGATGGACTGTCCACCGGATTAAAAAATCCAGCAGGTAAATACGAGTAATAGACAACAATCGGATGTTTTTCAAACCTTGGGAACAAGGTTCTAAACATTAATTCCAGGGGGCAGATAAAACATATTTCAAGTAACAAAACTTTTATAACTTTCGATAAAATGCGTGGATGTTTTATTGTCATTTTCATTTGTTAGAACTTTTTTAAGCCATGTTTTTATGTGTTTTCGATGTTTCAATAATTTTTTGATATAATCTTAAAATATGTCGAATATTATAAACTTAAAAAAAGTTACTAAGTTTTATATTGTGTACCGTTCCTAATATTTCTAATCATTTTAATTCATACTTTAAGCTTTATAAAGTTATAATTTGTTAATATTAATATTTGCGCGTATTTCAGGTTCCTGATCATTCATTTTTTAAAGGTTTATAACTTTAAATTAAATTGTGAAGCGCTGAGTAATCATACGACGTTCAATATTCTTTCTTTCAATATGACTAAATAATCCCAATTATAGCAATCTGATACTCATGTCTCAATGTTTTTTCGCTGAATGTGATGAAAACATTTGAAAAAGGTTCGCTTATTGAAATAAATTTACACCAGTTAGTACTTCGATTTCCAGGTAAAGGGAAAAGGCTCATTATCTGCCATATTGGCAGTGAGGATGGATTTGTTGTTGACGGTCTGTGGTGCTTTGAGTCTAAAAAATTTTACCGAACTTAGAGGAAAACGCAGTAATTGTGTTGGATAATGCGCCTTATCATTCTCGAAGAATGGAGAAGGTCCCAACAACGGCTTCAAGGAAAGTTGATGTTCAAAATTGGCTCCGCTCGAAAAATATCAACTTTGAAGAAGCAATGCTGAAAGTACAATTATTAAGAATTGTCAAGGATCACAAGGCGGAATATCAAAAATACGCCATTGACGAAATGGCAGCAAGTCAAAATAAAACTGTGCTCCGTTTACCTCCATACCATTGCGAGCTCAATCCCATTGAGCTCATATGGGCAGAGGTTAAAAATTATATAGCTAAGCACAATACAACTTTTAAATTTTGTGACCTCAAAGGGCTTTTCAAAGAAGCACTAGAATTAATAACAGCGCAAAAATGTCAAAACTGTATTAAGCACGTGAAAGACAAAGTTGAAAAGAGAATGTGGGAACTGGACAATATTTTAGAGGAACAAGTCGAGCTATTCATTATTGACGTTGGTGCTTCAGGCAGTAGCGATGATGAAAGCTCATCTTTCCAATAAAAGATGTCGTTCATCAAATTCGGTAAGTTATAAGTAATTATAAAGCTACTGTATTTTTTAATTAATTATTGACATTTTTGAACCCATTTTGGCAAAACCTATTCAAGAATCTACTTTCTGACAATGTTCAACCATGCACATTTTTTTACGTTTTGAACGTTTTAATTTGGTTACATATTTACCTAGAAATCAAAAAATATACTAATCAATATTCTAAAAGCAATTTTAAGAGATATACGATTATTTTTAATTTAGGCTAATTTAAACGCCATTTTGAGATTATATTCGACTGTATTTCACCAAACATCAGGCGGCATCCGAAGCTGGAAATCGAAGCGAAAATTTTGAAACCCTTATGTATATTTACATCATTATATATTTCTTACCCCACCCCCACATGATCCTATATCCATCACCAATCGTATACACATCGAATTGTGCTAATTTACTACAAAGTTACGCAAAGCAGCATCTACTATCTAAAATATGTACTGCGTGACTCTTAATACGTCCCTGCCGAATGTTACAGCGTTCGATGATCACGTGGTCTTGTTTATGTCCGGTCTATCTCTTATCTGAATATACTGTAGGATGTAAAATGGTCTTAGGCTGACAGATTTATTCATATCCCCAGATATGTGCAGATTTTCCTCTGAATCGCATTTGATAATTGTGGCTAATAGAATGTAACAATTTTTTTTGTCAAATATATTATTGGATGATAAAAATATATTCACCGGTAGTTGAAAAGCTGAGATTTGTTGTGAATGTTTTCTGTGAAATAACATTTCTTTTTGTTTAACATAACTTTCAATCCAAAACCCGCATACCAAGGGTCTGCCAGCAGCTGCTCCAACTTGGCAGTAATCGGACTGCGGTGTTGTCACGGGTTGTTATTTTTCTCTAAAATGGGGAAAACAGGGCGCCACTATTTTTGCTTCGGATTGTACGCCACTGATTCTAAAAGTAGCATACGAAGAGAGACTCGCAACTTGCCTGTCGATGTTAACTCTTGCTGTGCAGAAACTCGAGTACGATGTTGCCACGCGTTCTAATTGTCCCTCAGATAGGGAAACAGTAACGCTGTGATTTCTCCTCAACTGATTCCAAAACTGCATACAAAAGGAGCCTCGCATTGTTTCCGATGGCTAGAAATTTTTGCTGGGCAAAGATTGGACTGCGATGTTGGAAAAGAATAGAAAAACAGAATAATGCTTTATTAGTGTGAGCCTGTGAACAGCTTACAAACGCCAAAATAATTGAAAATATGAATGACTGATGCATATGATGAACAATTTGGGATACAGAAACACATATAAGGATAACGAGTTAGAAGCACCAAAATTCATTTGTACGATGAAATGCCTTATTTAGCGTAAGTTTATTTTTAAACAAAGCTAAGCTTGTAATCTGTTTAATATCTAAA